CCCCTTTAAAAAAAAATTTAAAATAGATGTGTAAGAAATTAGTCTTACACGTAAGAGACTGTTAAGGACAAACCCTGACAAATGTTCTGAAATACAACATTTACAATGCTTCAGTGTGTGGTAACCATAGTAAAGGAGTAAAAAATGTATGTAGAAAACAATGGGGGGGGGGGTTGTTGTGGCCGCATCACCACCTCAGTTGAGCATTGTTTTATAATAATTCAGCATCCCGTCATCAATTATTCCATACATAATAATGATAATAGGTAAATATAGAAGTAAATAAATACATACTATACATACATAAATAAATAAACTTGCATGCTTCAATCAATCAATGAGAACGGAGATGTCCAGATTTTGTGAGACTTGTATTGAAGTATAAAAGGTGAATTTGGGTCTGAGAGTCATTTATTGAGACAGATGGCAAAAAGCAGGCCAGTTCACCTAAATTCACCCCAGAATTACATAAGCCAGCAGTTTTTTGCGTATCTGTATTTGTACACAGACGCAGTTTATGGGAACGCAGCAGATGAGGTTCAATGGAGGATGTTCCCCTCCAATCAGATAGACCGCACCACAGAGACCAAACACAATCACAGTGAAATATGGATTCAATTTAGCCTTCAGCCCCTCCTGTATGAATATATATCAGTTATATTAAAATCAGGACGGCACAAAGTGATTCATAGAAAACAGCAAAAGAATTTCAATAAAGGAGAATCAAAGCATCTGTCAGTAACAAGACGTTTATACAGGTCGACGTCTGAGAAGGTTAGCGTGCAGCTTTTGCATTACAATTATTGTTTATTGTCAATAAAAAGTGAAGGCAATACATTACGCGCTGCATACTCAATCTGCCGTGGCAGGACATCATTTCACACTGACTTACGGCCTGTTATTGATTTCCTGACCAGAGATGTTATTTCAGCACATAAATGACACCGGGTTTGTTCTCCATGTTTATTTCACCGCTGGCCTTGCAAATTGCTTAAGCAAATGCAATCATCTTTTCTCGCAAGGTGTGGGTTTCATCACCTGCGATGTGACACATATATCCTACCGAACACACTTAAAATGAGGCACAAAAGATTTCTCCGGATGTACAGAAATGGATGTCAGGCACAAGATTCGGTCAACATTTGAGCCTGTAGGATCTTAAAAGAGTTACATAAGAGTTGTCTATAGATGATATGAGCAGAGCTGTTTAATTCCTCTGAAAGAGCATAAAATAATAGTGCAAACGAAATAACAAACACTGTACAATCACCGTATTTGGAACAAGAAAACGGGATTGCTCTGATTGATTGAAATCAAAGCTGCCCAGTGTTGTTTTAGCATAACTAGTATCATATTTCTGAATGTTTTTTTTGTGTGTAATTTTTAAGTGTTAGTAATTTTGTTGAGTTTTTGTGATTTATTTTTAAACATATACAATACATCTTTATTTCAGATTGTTCTATTTTTGTACACCAATTTAAACTAAATGAAAATGATAAATGTTGCTGAAATAAAATAGGTTTTTAAGTTTATTTTAAGATAGCATTTATTGTATTTCAAGAAACAAAAATGCTTTTTTGTGTGTTTTTTATTAATATTTTGAATTTTATATAATTTATATTTTCCCTTTTTAGTTGAAGTTTTAGTAATTTAGTTGTTTTGAATTGTTTGGTTAGTTTACTTTTAAACATGCAGTTGTTTTAGTTTTAGTTATTTTAGTACATCAAGTTAAATGAAATAAAAAGGAGAAATTTTGCCATGTTTTTTATTTTTAATATTTAGGTTTTTTTGTTTCATGTAACATTTTTTTAAATTTAGTTTTCGATAACCTTAATAATAATAATAACGCTGACTCAACCCTTATTAACATTATACAATTGCAGTAATATTACATTGAACGTTACATTATAGTATATTATTACACGGCTCTGTGGAATACTTGATTCTGATTGGTCAGTCGCGACATTCCGAGGTAAGTTATCCCTCGATAACAACCAGTAAAAGCTGATAACACACGCTCATCCGGGTAACAGCAGTCGGCGCTGTACTCTTGCTTGAACTATTTGTTCTTGGTGGAAGCTTTGCGTTTGTTTAGCTAATAAAATATTAAAACTCGATTCAAAATGGTGTACAATTATCTAATTCTGTCATCCTGGTATCGCGGACTCGCTCTCGTTTCATACAAACGCAGCTGCTGCCATACGATTGTTGTGTACGCTGTAATGGATTATAAGAGAACTTGGGACATCATTTCACACTGACTTACGGCCTGTTATTGATTTCCTGACCAGAGATGTTATTTCAGCACATAAATGACACCGGGTTTGTTCTCCATGTTTATTTCACCGCTGGCCTTGCAAATTGCTTAAGCAAATGCAATCATCTTTTCTCGCAAGGTGTGGGTTTCATCACCTGCGATGTGACACATATATCCTACCGAACACACTTAAAATGAGGCACAAAAGATTTCTCAATTTTTGAGGTGAAATGTTGTGTAATAAGTGGTGGGACTGCACCGTTTCCATTAAATGTCCGTCTAGTTTGAATTTGCCGCTTGCTCGCAACTGCTGTCTTCACGGAAGCTTTGCATTCAAATATTTCAACTCAAATCAATATTTCGAGTCTAATTATTTACTTATGTGGCAAGTAGCCGTGTAATAAGCGGGATAATGTACATCCAGCCGGTTGTTATCTCAGAATAAACCCCGACAGGGTGATCAGGACCCCGACGCGAAGCAGAGGATGTAACACTGGATGTACATTATCCCTTACTTAAATTGTTTAACCATATTCTTGGTTTATAATTTCCTTTTATCCAGAATAAAATAAAATAAAATGTATATATTATATACACCATATTTCTATTGTTAACTTCTTAAAAACTCGCAAAGACATGCAATTTGTTTCACGGGACTATCCAAGGAGCAAAACACATTAGTTCTCACCGAGATGCATTGGACACATTTGGGATTTACAGAGTTAAGTTATTTTCTGCCTCTGGTTTAAATAGAAAGTTAAATTGAATTTGCTGCCGCTGTTGTATTAGGCCTCAATAATTCTGTAATTAACATGAAGGAAAAACAACTCGCAGTCCAGCAGGATATTTTCCCAGCATCCTCTAATAAACAACAAAGTCATTTGTCTCATGGAAACGTATTCTGCTAAATGAATGCAGCTCTACTGCTCAATGAAGCATAAAATATATTGTTGTGTTTATTTCAGTTCTGACATCAGTGTGACTAAAGTGATACCAAGTTAAAAAACAAGAAAGAAAATATATTTTGAAGAAAAACTAAGCTACTTATCTGAAGCTCAGCCTGGAGACTCTGATTGAATTTGATCATGAAATGCCTGAAAATGACCTTTCCTTTCAAAGGGAATCTTCAGCTGGATTAATCAGGTTAGATGTTGATAGCGTACCGTGGGAAACTGACTCAGTCGGGTATTAATGTCATGACGTGTCTGACGCCGTGGGACGTTTCTGGGACTGTTTATCTAGAATTTCACACGTTCTTCAGTTCCCGGTGACCCAGCAGCGGCATCTCAAACACACATTTACATAAACGCACATGGGTCATTCCTGCAAATATGTGAGCACAAACTTACCACATGAATAAGTTGGAAAGCAACAATTTTAAAGAAAAGGAATGGTTTACGCAAAAATGAAAATGTACTCACCCTCAGGCCAACCAAGATGTACATTTAGTCATTTTGCAGACGCTTTTATCCAAAGCGACGTACAATTGGGGGATACATAAAGCGATTCTTCTTAAAGAGGCAAACAGACACAGGAAGTGCTTGAAATAAGTACAAGCTAGAAAGAGAAGGAATAAATAAAGAGATATGATTTTTTTTATGATGACGTCATAAAGAGCTTCAAAAGAGATGAGTTTTCAGCTGTTGCTTGAACATTGTCAGGGATTCAGCATTCCGGATAGGGGTGGGAAGATCATTCCATCATCAAAGATTACACCAAGATTTCTTACCGAAGTTGATGGGGTAATTGTAGAAGAACCTAGCTGGATGAGGAAATCATACTGTAGAGATGGAGTGGCAATTTGGCTTCTCAAGATGTTAACTGATGGACTGGAGTGGTGTGGATTACTTGTGATGTTTTTTGGACTCTCATTCTGACGGCACCCAATCACTGCAGAGGATCCATTGATTAGCAAATTATATAATGCAAAATTTTTCCAAATTCGATGAAGAAACAAACTCATCTACATCTTGGATGGCTTGAGAGCAAATAAAATTCAATTAAATTTTAATTTTGGTGTGAACTATTCATTAAAAAGAAATTTTAAAGTCTTTTAAAGGAAAACAAAAACACATTGATTGCAGAATCCCAAATGTTCTGCAAGAATTGACATGAAGGATTCACGCAACAAACACCAACCAAACAAACACCAAAACCCAACCCAGTGTGATTTGCACAATCTGCAATTTTTAGATGGTGAACGCTGCATGTTTAAGACCAATGACTTCATATCAAACATCAGAATTACACAATAAACCCGTTCACTGAGACAAGAGCAGTAATTCTGACTGCATGTGCTGTGCAAGTGACCTTGAACATACAAAACATGCTCTCCAGCATATTTCCTCCCTCAGCTCATAGAAGATGCTGCATTGATTATGCATGTACAAGTCAATGCTTTGCTATTTTCAAAACCTTTTTAGTAAAGTGAAAGCTGGCAGTCTTTATGATGCAAACATGTCTGCCATTTTCACAATCAATGTCATTGAGATTCAGCTCCACGTTGTACTAAAAAGCTAAATGTTTTCAAGGACTCAAGGTCTCGACAAGCAATGAGTTAATGAACTCACCTCAGACTCAACTTACCTCACTTTCCAGACTGGTTTTGCAGTGGTTAACCTGCGGTAACATCACACAAACAGAGCAGAGAGCCTTAGTGGATGACGTTATTCTGACAAAACAAACTTGAAATCTGCTAAATGTCTACAGTGCACTGGATTAATCAGCACCAAACAAGAGGCACTTTACAAATACATTGAGTTTATTCAGAAGTCAGTAGTGGATTTGGAGCAGTCAGTGTTATCGATATGCTTTTATGTGGTTTATAGGCTTGATTGGTACAATGACTTTTAGTTGTTTTCACTCCAATTGAGAACGAACAACACCACAAATTCAATAAAAGATACATGTAAGAATACATTTACTGTCCCTCTTATTAGAAAACCAAGCCCTTTTTTGGATAAAAATGCCAATTTTTATAAACTGCGAATACAAAATAAAGGACAAAATTTACTTTCAAGAAAGCAATAAAATAAAATCATATATACAAACCTCTGTACATAAATGTGTATATGTTGAGGATAAAAATAGCATGTAAAAATGAGAGAAAGAGGAAACTTTGATTATGCGACACCGAAGTGGTTTGAATTGGTCACGCGTCTCAACGATAATGTGCATAAAAAGCACATTCCTGCCTAAAGTGGAGTTTTAGTCAAACATGCACCATCTGCCAAAAATACCCAGAATTCCCTGACTCCAGTTACACTGCATCTATATGTGCTGTGGTCTGACGCTTGGAGTGATGTGAAATAGACTGCGTCTCTAAGCTTGTATTGTCACTGGGGTGCAGGCTCCGAGCGCTGATCCGGCAGTGGACAATAATCAGCCGTTATGAGTGGGGCATTCATCATGTCATTCTGTCAGGGATGTTGACGGAAAATCGTTGGAAGAGGGCCGATGCGGATGTCTCCGTTTGATGATGCCGTCTTCTGGCTTATTGGACGATTCCCGAGTCGATGGAGGTCTGCTTGCGAGTGGTCTTTGGAGGGGGAGGAGGAGGGGTCTTGCTGGGTAACGGAGGCGGAAGGTGCTGGAAAAATGAGGAAAAGAGAGATGGAGTTTTTAAAACACTTGAGTGAAGCATTAATTCTTCATTACATGAGATCAAATGGTGCTGCTTGTCCATGCTAAACTCCACGTTACATTACTAAAGTCAAGTCTCTGTGATGATCTGGTCTCTTCATTTGAATGATATATGAATGCAACAGAATGAATGAATACATATATTTTAATTAATATTTTAAATAAATAAAATATATTTATAATATTTATATTTTGTTCCTTTTGATCTATATGACCCTGGACCACAAAACCAGTCATAAGAGTCAATTTTTCGAAATTGAGATGTATACATCATCTGAAAGCTGAATAAATAAGCTTTCCATTGATGTTAGGATTGGACAATATTTGGCTGAGATACAACTATTTGAAAATCTGGAATCTGAGGGTGCAAAAAAATCTAAATATTGAGAAAATCATCTTTGAAGTTGTCCAAATGAAGTTCTTAGCAATGCATATTACCAATCAAAAATTAAGTTTTGATATATTTACAGTAGGACATTTACAAAATATCTTCAAGGAACATGATCTTTACTTAATATCCTAATGATTTTTGGAATAAAAGGAAAATCAATCATTTTGACCCATACAGTGGTGTGAAAAAGTTTTTTTAATTTTTTGCATATTTGTCACACTTAAAAACTGCATTTTGTATTTACTTGCATTATCTTTGTGTAATATTTAAATTTGTTTGATGAACTGAAACATTAAAGTGTGACAAACATGCAAAAAAATAAGAAATCAGGAAGGGGGCCAACACTTTTTCACACCACTGTATTTTTGGCTATTGCTACAAATATACCCCAGCGACTTAAGACTGGTTTTGTGCTCCAGGGTCACATATAATTTTTTTGGGTATATTTGTAAAAAATATTGGTCTAATCTCTAACTTTAAGCAGTAATAACAGAGTAATAGAGTGAGTAAATTATAAAAACAATAAAGTCTGCGATAATCTGGTCTCTTGATTCAACAATGATATATTTAAAGCAACAATGAATAAATGAATGAAAAATAAATAATTAGTCTAATCTCTAAGCTTAAGTAACTATGGGCAATAATAATAGAGTGATAGTGATTGAATCAATAATAAAGTAGATCTAATACTAATAAAGAAAAGAAAAATGTAGTAAACTTTTTAGAAGTTCGGGTTCATGACATTTTTTAAAGAAATTACTATTTTAATTTGACTAAGTTGATTAAAAGTAACAGTAAAAACATGTATAGTGGTATAAAATATTTCTATTTTAATTAAATGCTGTTCATGGCTCACCACAAAAATATTAAAGAAATGACTCATGCGCACCAAGTGTCTGCGTATTAAACTGATTTCTGAAGGATTTCTGAAAATTCAACTTTGCATCAGAGGAATAAATGGTATTTTAAAGTATATTCAATTATTTGAAATTGAACTAATATTTCACAATATTCCAGATTTTACAGTAGTTTTGATCAAATAAATGCAGACTTGTTGAGCGTAAGAGGCTTCTTTCAAAAGCATTAAAAATCTTACAGACCCCAAGCCTTTGAACACTAAGTGCATCATAAAATAATATTTTGCAGCCTGCCGTTGTAGAGCAAAGAACTTCAAGCCGTTTCAACCTTTAACTGTAATTTGACGTAACTTCCAGCAGCTGTAGAGAAGTTCAGGTTATGGGTTAATTAAACAGAGTCTGGGATTATTTAAAGTAAAATCCTGCAGAGAGAAAGAGACTCAGAGACGAGCGGCTGATCAAGGGCACCTTCATCCGCTCTGGTCACACACATCCTGACCGCTTCACACAGTCACACATCTGCTCTGTGCAAATCACTGTCTACACCAGGGGTGCCCAAACTCAGTCCTGGAGGCCCGGTGTCCTGCAGAGTTTAGCTCCAACTTGCCTCAACACTGCTACAAAGTTTCTATTATGTCTAGTAAGAGCTTGATTAGCTGCTTCAGGTGTGTTTAATTGGGGTTGGAGCTAAACTCTGCACGACACCGGCCCTCCAGGACCGAGTTTGGGCACCCCTGATCTACACTGACAATCACTGCAGCCGAAACAGCCTGAATATAACACTACACTGATGATCCTCAGAGCTGAACAACAGGAAGAGATTTCTTAATGGATTTTTAACCACTAATGAGCATGTAAAAATAATGGAAATGAAGATCAAGCAGTAAACCGCTGTATGAATGTCAGTCACTGATGGATGTGGATGGAGCGTTTTACCCGCTGGTGTGGCAGTGGAGGAGGGGGCGTGGTCGGACTGGCCAGGTCTGAGTTGTCCATCAAGTTTCCATAGTCGCCCATGCTGCTCTTGACAGGAAGTGGGGGCGGAGTCTCACCCTTATCTCCATAACCCGTCCCATTCAGCTCTAGACCTGCATTGAAACAAGATAGAGTGCTGTTGAGTTCAACATGATGATGCATGACATTTTCACCTGTGCCTAAAACTCAATATAAATCAGTAGTTTTAGGAGGCCTGCGCAGTGATTCCAGCACAGATGACGACATGCGATGCAAACTCAGAATCAGACAGCGGGCTGAACCCATGGGAGAGTAAACGCCTCGCACTAGAGTCTGAATCCATTACACGTCTTCACAAGCGGCGAGTGGGAGACTAGATCAGACACGCTTAGTTATTTCACACCTCTGCAGCCTCCCAGAGTCCTGCGCTCCACATCACAGCGTTACGTTTGTGTGTCATCACACTACAGCTGGAGACGGAGCACAAGACGCCAGCAAACGTCTCATATTTTGAGGGTGTGGTGGTTTAAGCTTGGAGAAAAATTGGTTGTATTTAAATTCACCGGCTGTTACAGGACAGATACAAATGAAACATTCAAAAACATATGATCATAAATACAGTATCATCAAAACAAACATTCAATTTAGATAAAAGGCAAGACAGAGTACAGTTCTACAAAAAAAGATTCTTTAAACTGTAAACATTTTCCTGGATAAATAAATCCTTAAAAGTTTGTCCTGATAAAAATTGCTGTCTCATAACATAAAAAATTGAGCTGACCAAAAGTACATGTTTTATAGATTAGTCGGTAATGTGAAATTACCACAGCAACTCATTCATTTCAACAAGAAATGAAAAAAAAGTTATTTATAGAAAGAAAAACACTGTAAAGGGTTTGAATGCTTTTTACACCTCAAATAAAGCCAGAAACTGATATTTTTTTAAAAAGCTAATATTAAAATAATTAGTATGCAAATGACCCTACTGTACAACTACCGCACGCACCACCGTTCAAAAGTTTTGGGGTTGGTAAGATGTTTTTGTAAAGAAATTAATACTTTTATTCAGCAAGGATGCATTAAATTGATTAAAAGTCACAGCAAACATATTTATAATGTTACAAAGATTTTTTATTTTAAATAAATAAATACTGTTTGAGCTTTCTATTCACAAAAAACGAATTCAGCATTGCATCACAGGAATAAATTACATTTTAAAATGTATTCAAATAGAAAACAGCTATTTTGAACTGCAATATTTCACTGTTTTCACTTTGTTTTTAATCAATTTAATTGGTGAGTTTCAGTATCTTCTTTCAAAAACATGAAAAAATATATATATTTTCGACCCCAAACTTTAAATGAAAATGTAAATCAGACTGAAGGACTTGGATAATTATCAACAACTCTATTTTTTCCAACAGCTAAAATATGATGAATTATGTTGATAAAACAACACCAGAGGACAATATCTGCTGCATTTCAGCAGATCAAAGTCAGTTCTCTTTTATTTATTATTATTTAAAATATGCAGACTGCTGTCGGCACGCAGGTGTTCAGATATCTCCACGCTGAACGTCTCGTATTTACAAGCGGTCTGCCAGAATGTCAGCTTTGGATTTTGAGTTATATATTAAAATAATCTTTTTGTAAATTGATGTTACTATTATAAAGTTTTCTCCTGTAGGTGGGTGGGGCTTCTTTGGCAACGATCTATCTTAGTTTGCATTAGTAAAACTGGCCCAATTTCATCATGTTTTGAAATAAAACTGGAGGGGAATCTGTCAGATCGGTGTGAAGTATGACATACTGGATCCAGACAGTAAGCTGAACTGCAGTTTGGCCCGGGGCGTGATGGGAGGTGGGACGCTGGGCGCAGACGGGTTGGCAGGGGATCCTGGAGACACCGAGAGTCTTTTCTCGCCCAGCAAGCTGATCACCTGACTCTTGGGCCTCTGGGGTCTCAACGGACTGATCTGGAGAGAGGAAGACACGACAGATAAGCATTACAGAGTGAACCATGCTTTCTGGGAAAAGGTTTCCATAAATGAAGACTAAACAGGACGACCGTTCAAAATGTGGCCATGGAAATGGAACATGAAATGGATGGATACAATGATAACGGGGGGAAAATACGTCAAAGAGTAAAGAACAGCCATTCAAACAGCTCAGGTCCATTTCCATGAGCATACAGGTTTATCTAATGCATAATTCAGCAGGCTTGTGAATTATTCCAGTTGTAAATGACCATCATTAATATACGATCAGTAGAATAAACTTCAAAGGCAGGATTCAGGCGGCCAAATAAGCCATTCTGGGTCACCCTGACCTGACGTTTTAACCTGCTCGTTTGCAATACAACATCTACATAGGACGTAATGCAAAATGTACATCCATATAGAAGGGAACGCCAGTGCAAATGTGAGCAGGTGTTTTGTGAATCACATGTTTTGCATGTGTTATTTAAAATTAGTCTTTTAATTTTAGATTTTGAATATTATTTGAGTGAAGTAACATTTATGCTACTGTGATAAATGCTGAAACGTGCACACCAGAAACCAGAGACTGACGTTGACATGTTCCACAGGCTCTGAGATTCCTGCCCCGCACAAGAGCCTGGACCACAGCTAAGACCATGTGATGCACACACTCCCAAAATGATGTGATAGTTATATATATTCTAAATAAACTACAAACAAAAAATAGATACATTTCTTTTTCCTCATTATTTCTTGTAGCAATTCCCTCTCAGTCACACACCTGACAGATATATATATATATATATATATAAATAATACATAAATTTGAATAATAATTAATTAATAATAACATTAAGATATTTGCATTTTTAATACATCAGAAATATACTTTGGATATATTTTTTGCTAAATTAGTCTTTTAATTTTCGATTTTGCACATCATTTGAGTGAAGTAACATTTATGCTACTGTGATAAATGCCGAAAGGTGCATTAAAATGTAACATCATAATTTTTTTTAAATGTGAAACTTTTATAAACACTTCTGCAGTGTAAACTGCCACTCAGAATCATCAATGAAATTATAATAAATATGTAAAAAATGTATATTTTTAACAGGAAAATATTTTTGGCATCAGATAAAAAAATAAAAAATAAACTATTGAAACACGATAATAAAATTAATAAAACATTACAAATTAAAAAAAAAAATAATAATAATACATAAAATGTAATAAGAATTAATTAATAATAAATTAATTAATAATAACATTAAGATATTTTTAATGTCAGAAATATACTTTGTATATATTGTTTGCTAAACATTTCTATTTTGTTTTCTGATTAAACAAGTTGTATTAATGAAAAAAAAAATAGTTTTCATTTGCAATAGAAAAATAAAATACAAATATTATAAAATTACACACACACTCACACTCTCTCTCTCTCTCTCTCTCTCATATAAACATTTTTATGACTACTTCAGAGGGTAGTCCGGACTGCTGAGCGAATCATTGGTACAACCCTCCCTTCTCTCCAAGAACTGTACGTATCCAGAGTGAGCAAAAGGGCTGGCAGAATCACTCTGGACCCCTCACATCCAGCACACTCCCTCTTTGAACTGTTGCCATCTGGTCAACGCTACAGAGCACTGAGCACCAGAACGTCCAGACACAGGAACAGTTTCTTCCCTCAGGCAATCCATCTCATGAACACTTAACAATAACTGTGGAACACACACTATTTATACACTCATACACTTATTTATCTAACACTCATACTCAGTCTACACCTCAAATTTGCACATAATATACAGTACCTGTACATACAAAAAATGTATATTGTAATATACCTGCACATACGATTGTCGATTTATATATTTTGATTCCTTATTTACTTGTTCTATTTTTTTATATTTTATTTTCTGTGTTTTTTTGTTCTGTCACTGTCATTCTGTTACACTGTGGAAGCTTCTGTCACGAAAACAAATTCCTCGTATGTGTAAACATACCTGGCAATAAAGCTCATTCTGATTTATTA